AAAAAAAAAAAAAAAAAAAAGTTTGTAGATTGGAAAGAAAGGGTTCAAACTGTCTTTATTCACAGATAACATGATTCTGTGTGAGGAATCCATTTTTATTTTATTTTTTTAAATCCTCACCTGAGAATATTTTTTCCATTGCTTTTCAGAGAGAGTGGAAGGGGGTAGGGAGAGAGAGAGACACATCGATTGGTCGCCTCCTGCTTGCAAGCCGACGGGGGCCCAGGGGGTTGAGCCTGCAACCGAGGTGCCCTTGACCGGAATGGAACCTGGGGCCCTTCAGCCCTCAAGCCCATGCTGTAGCCACTGAGCCAAACCGGCTAGGGCGGTGTTTTCATGAACCGAAGGCAAGACCCTCCACCAGCAAAAAGACTTTTACTCACTTTATTGCGATGCTTGCTTTATTGGGGTGGTTTGGAACTGAACCCACAGTGCCCCCGAGGTGTGCCCATTCTCAAAAGTCAAACGCCCAGACCACTCCCAGGCCCACGGGGAAATGCAGTCACGGGAGGCGGAGCTGCCGAACCCCAGCAACGCCTCGGCTCCTGCCCGCGCCTATCTGCACACTGAACTACCAAGGACAGCTAAGCTTTCAAAGGGAGAAGATCAAAGTGCTGTCATCTTTTAATTTAATCCTTTTGTTGCATCAGTGGTCTTAGGAGGGATGAGAGAGATCAAAATAAAAATGGAAACAAACTATATCTTTGTGGCTGTTGTGTTTTAGCCTTTTTTCCCCTCAATTTGGGCCACAAAATAGGTCAGCTCCATTACTGATCAGCCTTCCCACAAATATTTAAAACAAATTGAATTGCACACCCAATACCCATCACAATTACACCAGGCACAATAACTAAATTAGCAATTCAACAAAATAATTGGAAATGCGATTCTCTCTATTCCACCAGTCTCCCTCGAGGGTTCAGCCGATCTATGGGGGAAAACTCAGCTTTCCTAATTCTGCAGCTAATTAGAGACACACTTGTAAATGAAGTTGTTTGTCTTAAAGTTGAAATTCTCTTCTGGGGGTGGGGAGAGGGAAGGAGGCGAGAAAGCCCTTCCACTCTGGAGCGAGTGTGTGAACAGGTAGAGAGAGCACATGCCTGGGTTCTAATTAGCAGCCATATCTGCAATTAATAAAGCATCACTATTTTACCATCACTGATGTAGTGATGAGCAACTTCTGCAGAGCCAGCCTGACTGACGTCCTCCAAGGGAGAGGTGGGCCTTCTCGCGGCCCTTGAGGTGGGTCATCGGTGGGTCATCTGGCTGCACGGTGCTCTTTGCGGGACCGACGGGCAGTGGTGGAGCCCAGGAGGTGTCAGTGCGGCCGGCTCCCGCGTCAGCCAGGCACAGAGGCTTATTTTAAAAGAAAGCCAAGGGAAGGTGCCCAAGCCTCTGTGCCTGGCCAGGAGAAGCAGAGGCTTATTTAATTTTTTGAAAAACATCTTTATTGATTTCAGAGAGAGGAAGGGAGAAGGAGAGAGAGAATCATCAATGATGAGAGAGTCATTGATCAACTGCCTCCTGCACGCCCCCTACTGGGGATGGAGCCTGCAACCCGGGCATGTGCCCTGACCGGAATCGAAGCAAGATCTCCTGGATCATAGGTCAATGCTCAACGACTGAGCCACATTGGCCAAGCACAGAGGCTTATTTTAAAAGAAAGCCAAGGGGAGGTGCCCAAGCCAAACAGACCCCCTCTGGTGGATGGCAGCCAGCGCGGGACCAGGGACCACTTCCCGCCAGCCAGAGGTGGCACTGCCTTGGCCCCCTGCTCAGGCCACTCTCAGAGAAGCAATCTTGAGGTTTCAATTAGTCTGTCCTTGGCCTCTTTTTGTTCCTCCAGGAAGGAAAATCTCGGCTTAATTATATAACTGAGAACTAGGGCTCACGTTCGTCCCCTCTTACCCTCCTTCACCAAGATCGGGATGTGACCTTAAAACGCAAACTCCCCACAGGGCTCCCTTGGAAGGTTTGAGGCGCCGGTTGGTGGGAGGCTCCCTGCCGCACTCCCCGCCAGGAACAAAGGCCTGGCCTTACTGGCGAGGTGAGCAGATGAAACAGAGGTGCCAGGGCCCAGGGCAGCCTTCTTTCCCAAGATGCCCCTGGACATCACAGCACCCAGGCTGGGGTGAGCGGCCCAGGAGCCTGCTGAAAAGCTGATAAGTAAATTCAAAAGCACCTGCTCCCTCCTGCTTATCTCCTCTGACAATATGAACTGGGAGTTATCACGCTTCAAGTGTTCCGTATTAGCCTTACACTTAGCTCTTAAAACCCGGTGCGGTGTGCGACAACTTTAAAGGACACAGGAGTCAAACTGGAAAATAATTTCATGGCATCAGGGAGTTAGTTCCCAGCCTGATCCTTCCGGAGGGGAGTAGGGGTCTGTTGACCTCCCAGGGTCCCCCTCAGCCACCCTGGGGACTAAGGCAGGAAACACTGGCTTCCTCACACCCTCCTCATTCTCCAGGTCACACTCCCAGCCACCTCTCTGGTCTAAGGCGGGGCCTCCTCCCGGCCTGCACACCTGCACACTTACCTGCCGTGTGAGGACACTGTGCCCTAAGCCCTGGGCCAGCTGGAACTCTCCCCGTCCCACCTATTGATCATGTCCCTCATTTTCAATGTTCGTGTTTGGTGTCACTTGCAAGAGGTTTGGAAATGTTCGCATAGACCTGAGCTGTCCAATACAGTGGCCACTGGCCACATTGCAAAGCTCAAAAGCTTCAAGGTATTACGGGATGGCACAGTGATACAGGATTCTAGCCCCATTGCAGCCGGAGAACAATGGGTCCGGGCTGCCTGTCACCACTTGAGCCAATTAAGCAGAGACAGGGTTGAATTGTATATGAGGATTTATTCCAATGTTGCCAGCAATATGAGAGCAGGGTGGGTCATCCACGGAAATCTGCGCTAACCCCCCACCCCCCATAAGCCAGTTGCTTATATTGGGTAGAAGGACAAAGATTACATGGGAAAGTAGGAAGTAGGGCTTACAGGTGTGGGGAAGTAGGCAAGGTAGGCTGGGGGCTGCAAAGGGCAGGCGCCTCCAGGACTCCGTTGTTTTGGTAACAAGGTGGTTAATCTTTCCCTGATGATGGGCAGTTCTCCGTAAGGAAAAGGGACCGATTCTAAGGGTAATTCCCATGTCCCGGGGCGTACAGCTCCCAGTCAGGTTAGAAAGTGCTTTTTCTAATTAGAACAGAACAATCACAGTTAACAGCATGATGAATATTTCTTATAACTATAGCTAACAATCACGGTCAACAGCATGATCAACATCTCTACCCCTAACACCATCACCCCCGAAAGCTGTTGGACAGCTCTGGCCTAGATGCTCTGGACACTTCTAGCCTTGGAGGAGGCTTTTCCTGGGCTCCCCAGGA